AACGAAAGTGTGCCCATGGCTTCCCACCGCCGGGCTGAGGTCGCCAAGTGGAAGTTGGACGTGACCCGAACCAAGGCCACGCTCACCAAACTGCTGCCAGCGAGGCGCCCTCTCGCCCCCCCCCCCCCCGAGCCCGAGCCCGAGGGTCCGATCCGGCGCTGGAAGAACGAGTTGAGCATAGAGCGCTGTCCACATATGAAAAGGAAAGCAATGGCTTGTTGAAGCGATGGTCATGGGTTCGTGCTTTTGCTTAAGGACTTGATTTGTCCGTTTTGGTTTAAAAAATATATAATTTCACATTACTTCCCATGATTCTATTTTTTCCAGGGGGCGAAAACGCAACTGGAAGGGTTTGGGACCAAGCGAGTCGCAGAAAACGGGTGCTCGCCAGGCGCCGCTACGTCATCGCCAACTTCAAGGGGCAGGCTGCGAGCGAGTTGGGAGCATCAACCAGGAAGAACGGGTCCGAAGAAAGGGCGAGGGCAACTTTTTGTGGATTTGTTACTTGCGGTTTGCGGTTCTGAAAGCTTAGGCGTGACTTAGGGAACTCTGGTGTATCCACAGTTGGACCCCACCCCCCCACTTTTTTTGGAAATGGCGTGCCTTGGCACGTGAACTACGTCAGTATGATTTGTATGCGCAAGTGTAGCTGCCAGACAGAGGTCATGGTAGTGGATCATGCGTTGACGGATGATGGTAGCTGGGTGGCTTTGGTCGTGCATGGCACTAGTACCTGCTGGTCAGGCAGAGGCTGCATGCCAATGACCATGGTTTGATACAGTCTGAAAAGGAAACCCAATTCCGCGAATGTGGGCATTCCTCGTGTGCATGCATCTCCCAAGCAGCCAGCGTTGCTGCTTTCTCAGAGAGGGTGTCTAGATGTTCTTGGAGTTCTTGTGTGGTGTGAGGGGGTTCCCTCATTTAATATAGGGGTTCAAAGTTGGGAACACCCGTTTGAAAAATGCCACGGGATTCATCCTGGGTGATCCATTTCATTTCGAAATGTACATGACGCCCCCCAGAAAAACTGGGGGGCCCCCGGTCATGGACGACAGTTGGCAAATGGGCTGCTTTCCAGATTCAATCTTTTGGGGGCGCATGTTGTACTGTATGCGTTGAAACCAGGAACCCATCCCACAGCAAACGTGTCCTGGCCAAACGGGTTCCAGCGACAATAAGACGTGTCACCTGAGCTGCGATCAAAACCCTGCTAGACGAAGGTTATAAGGCATAGTACCCGCCATAGATACGTGCGTCCGCCCTTTCAGTTCTTTACATATGGGGATATCGGGTTTTGTTTATTACTTGTTTTGTTAGGCCGCCGGAAATTTGCTTAGTTTTAGTCTTGTTCCGGCCTTCAAACACTGTCGGAAATCGGAATGGTCAGGCACCGAATTCCAGCCGTGAAGCGGCAGCAAGCAACTTAAAGCGCAGCCACTGCCCAAATCCGTGAGTCTCAGAGCTGTTTTCCGCATGTGCTTGTCCGTTTTGTTTTCAGAGCAAGTCAGAGGAATGGGTCTGATCACCCCTGATTCGGGGTCCTTTGTGTACTGTACTTGTGGAAATCTGACGTGTTTAATCGCACATCCCCGCCCCGAATGAAATTGGGTGAGGGGGCGCGGTTCTGTTTCCGCTGTGTGGGGCCCAGAATTAGGGGACCTTCTCCCCGTACTCAACGAAAAAGGAGGGCAGCGCAGGGCGATTCCGACATCAACGACCAGCTGGAAACGTGCGCCGGGGGATCACAAGAGATGCTGCGTGCAGGTTTGGCAAGCTTTCCCCGCTTTGATTGTGTTAAAGAGAAGCTGAAAGGAAACTGTTTTTTTAAAGAAATCGCCCGGGCACACCCATATTTGAAGTGAACTGTCAAATCTTGTGATGCTGACATGTCGCTCTTTCAATACCTGGCATTTTGTTTGGAGGTTAGACAGTACTAAAGCACAAACGATGTGCTCGGAATCGCTTCAAGTTCAAGATTGTTCATAAATGAAAAGTGGCGAGCATGCGCGTGCCCGAAGCACATGTCGCAACCTGCAGTACGCCGTTTCTAAAGGAAGCCCCAGAAGGGTCACCAGTTTGTCCGCAGCAGTATCTCCAAAGGGCGTGCAGAAGGAACTGATTGATTCTATGCCAGGATGGTTGACCAAATGAAGTGTCGGCCCGTTTCAGCCCGTTTCGCCGTTGTGCGGACGTTCTTGCACCGCGTTTTGCAGCCGGCGCCAGCAAGGTTGATGCCTGTCGACCATGGTGCGGTTTCCCCAGAAAAAGCTTGGGACTTAGTGAAACTGATCCCCACCCCTCCTTGGTTTTCAAGCAATGGATCTAAATGGTGGCTGGTTTCGCGCTGGATGGACGAGTTGTTTGTTGGCCAGGCCACTTGACGTACGTATTCAATACTACTCCACTACCAACTTCGCCACAACCCAGTCTCTTTGTGATTCGCCCAACCCTGAGGTTTTGCAATTCAGGGCACTTTTCACATCAGATAGGGTGACGCGTTCAACGTGTCCTGAAAAGCATACAGAAGGGGACGCCATGGGGGCTGCGTATTTCAGATTCCTCAAGCGCAAAATCTGACCAAAAACAGCAAAAACACAAAATCAATCAAGCAAATCATCTTCATTTGCTCGTTCAAGGCCTGGGGTTGTTGTTGTTCTTTTTGGTTGGGGAGGCTAACCAGAAAAAGCAAACAGAGCCCATCATATTGGTCTGCTCGTTCGGGACCTGGCTTGTTTGTGTTGTTTGCTTGTTTGTTTTTTGTTTTTTTTGTTTTGCTTTTGCGTGTTTGGCTTCTTCTTTTTTGGGTTGAGGAGGCTAAAAACGAACAAACCAAAGAAATAAGAAACAACCAAGCCCGTCATCTTCATGTGCTAGTCCAAAACCTGGGGTTGGTTATAATTGTCATTTTAAATAGAATCATTCTAGTTCAAAGTCTATTGAAGCAAAGAAGTTGCGATTGGATTCAGTCCTTGTCAAATTATGTTTAAACTCTGATTTAGTTGTAAAATTATATTGGGAAAGGATCTCCCCGTCTAGAGTCTAAATGTAAATTGCAATTCGCAGTAGGATTCTGATCAAGTATTTCCTTGTTGGGTGCCAATTAAATCCTGTTCAAATTCAAACTGAATTTTAAAGATCGGCTGTTGGTGGAGAGGTGAATTGAGTACGAACAACGCTACAAAACACTGTGTGTTTATGGTGTTTTCTGACCGTGGTAGTGCTGGGGCTGGTAAACAGAAAAAGCACGATTTTGGGACCTTTGAATTCTGTCCTTATGATTTAATAGCTTTATCAAAGTCTACTCAGTTTCTGACTGAAATTAAATAGAATTTCTAAGGACAGGCTCCAATCTGAAATTTTATGTGAAAATGGAATTTGAATACTGATTATTATACTTTTAAATAAACGTTAACACATAAACATGTATTCACAATTTTCGGGACCGCTAATTTTATTCCTTATGAATACTGCTTGATATGTTTATGAAGTTCTACCCAATTTATATCTCACATAAATGGGCATTTAATAGGGACAGCATCCAACCATTTGTCGAAACAAATGCTACACTGGATGCCCTTTCCAATAGAATCGGCTTTGCAAATCAGTAGACATTTAAACAACGTGTATTTAACAATTTTGGGACCTCTAAGTTATTTATTATGAATTCTATTAGATATATGTATCACGTTCAACTTAAATTATATCTAAAACTAAGAAGTAAGTAAGGAGCAAGTCCAATCAGAGGCAACAAACGCAGTCCCCAGGAATCTGAACAACGCAGGTCCCAGGACGTCCCGCCTTCAAAGGATACCCTCAGAAACATATTACATGTATATATATATATACATAGATATCTTGTATGCTTGTCCGGGTGTGGCCGTGCATTCAGGTACATCTCACAGTGCGAGGCGACCAACGCCTGGGCAGCCGCTTTGGACGCATACCGATGTGGGGGGTAACACGAGGTCACCGTATGGATTCAAGTATTATTTTCAGGTTTCGGAGTCGTAAATGTTCTAGGGAAACAGCAAAGTCAAGACTGTGCTAACGCAGCCATTTTGAATCAAGGAGAAAAGCATCTTGCGGCCGAAACGTAGGAACACGGGTTATGAGCCCAAAGCGTGCTTAAAGGCACCCATCTTCACCAGCCGCGCGAGAACCGCCCGACCATGCAGAAGAAGCCCTGGATTTGATCGGACAGGAGATGGTGTTGTTTGCCGGCAAAGGTCGAGGCCCAAGAAGAAGGATCGACTTGGTGAGGCCGGAGGCCATGAAGCTGCTTTTCAGCCCCAAGCAGATCAGGAGTTCAACAAATGGGATGATAAAGCAGTGAAAGGCTGGGCGCAGGAGCTGATGGCGCAGAACCAGAAGCTCAAGAACAATGAGATTGAGGGCGGCTACGGCAGCCAGGACAAGGAGGGGAGGTCAAAGAAGGCAGACTGGAGCAAAAGGGGTGAAAGCCAGTTGTTACGGTGGGGATGATGGAGAAGCGAGGGAGATCCAGCAGGGATAACGCTTGATCAGACCCTGCGCTGGGTGGAGAGATCAGCCAGCCGCGTGATGGTCAAGTGGCGGCCGTGGGGCTACAAGCGGAGGATGCGGGTTTGTGGAGGACGCGCCATTTGTGCCCTCCCGCATGCTACGTGCGGCGGAGGGTGCAGATGGGAGATTGGCGAGCAGTTCACCGGATGGCCGTTAAACATGGTGGGCGCAAATGTCTGCCTGGACCTGGCTTCGGGAACTACGGAGAATGTCCAATGTGGTGGGGTTGGAAGTGGTCTGTGGAGAAAGGCAGCGGCAGAGAAGGACATCTTCACAACTTTTCAAGGTAGTGGCCATGATGAAGGAGACATGCGAAGAGATTCCTGTAATCAGAGCGATGAGGGGACTGAACAAGCTGCGGCCCTTGCCTGAGGAGGAAGAAAGCGATGAGGAAGTCTGGAGCGGGGCAGCAACAGGAGTGGAGAGAAGAGGCTACAGCATCGTCGGGATCCTCAGCGTTAACTCTGAGGTGAAGGGGCAGTTGGGTGCCACACCGAAGCCAGCGCCAGAAGCTCAGCCCGGAAAAGGAAAAGGAGGACCAGGTCTCGGAAGCCCGCCATGGAGAGCAGCAGGCGCAGCAGAAAGAGAACCAGGTTGATCCAGGCTTGCCGGACAAGGAGCTGTCCAGACAAAGCGTACTGCTCACCACGCCAGAGATTGCTCTGGCCCAGTGCAGCTGGTGCTTTGAGAAGGAGCTGCGCGATGGATAGCCACACGGTGATGCTGGAGATTGGAGGCCGGTGGTGACGACGGACTATGAGGTTCGCTACGATCTGGCATTCAACCTTGGCGGCGACAAGAGATGGACACGTCCGAGGGAGGAGGTTTGCCCGCATCCCCGGATGAGATCTATAGGAAGCGGCTTGAGCGGACCGGCGGTAGTTTTGGCAGGCGCAACCCTAAATCGTGGTGCACCTGGAGGGAGTGTTCCAGGGAACAGCCAAGACTGCGACAACGCAGCCGCTTTAAATAAAGGAGAAAACATCCTGCAGCCGAAACGATCAGTTGTTAGGGTCCATATTAGTCTGCATGGGAGTAACTTTGGATTCACAATCATTTCAATTTGTAGATTGGATTAGACTGGAAACGTACGGTACGGGTTACTACGGGTGGATTTGGCTTGGGCCTACGTTCCCGAAAGCCGACACGCAGACGCACTGCGGGCGCCTGCGACCAAGTCGGGGATACCAATCGCCACTTGTGTTGGTTGGATCAATCCAGTGGCGGCCAGCCGCTGCGTAGCAAAACATTGTCACTTTAGGTTTTTCAAGGACTGTTTTCTTGAATTGAATGTCCAGGATTTCGGCTGAAAAGTGAAGGATCCAGTTTTTGGACACCTATTCGTGCATCAGCCAGACATGTAGCGCAGGGATACCCCCTTAGCAAACAGGGTGCTGCGATGTTCCTGTTGGAGCAGCACGTATGTCGCAGGCAAGAAGCAGTCATGGGGGTTGCAGGTAAGATGTCATCAGCCATTCGCTGCCCATATTAATATATACCAAGAGCGATTGGCCACAGAACTGAGCTCTGTTGGTTGTCGGTTGGGGCTGAGACGCCCTGAGTAGGCGTGAAGATATGTCTGACTTTCCCCGGATCTCAGGCTTGTGTTTTTCCACATGTTCTTGCCACTTCCGGGACAGCTCGCAGCATGGCTTCCACCGGTGATTAATATGATGAATCAAATTAGGACGTGACGCAGGCGATGATTGCAACACGGTGGCCAAGCCATCTATAGGTCCATGTTACTTTTTATGACATGATCCGGGCCTTTGATCGCAATTGAACTGTACTGTTCGTAACCTCCCCTTGCCGCCAGATTTAGTAAGGCATTCTTCATTCAATGTCAATATATTATATAGTGCTGGTGATTTGGGCAACGTGAAGCAGTTTAACGGATCCCCCTATTAGGTTTCGATGTCTGTTGATTTTTCAAAAATCTCACCTCTGCGTCAGGCATCAAACTGGGCCCTATGTCAGCTTGTGGATGTGGCACTCTTGAACCACTGGGACATCGATTTCTCGAAAATCCACTCACCGCCGGTGGGTAGCTTTGACCCCCCCCTTTCCCGGGTGAAACTTGAGGCTTGGACCAACGGAGCTGGGCTCGCAGGGCGCTCGGAGGTTCCCCTTGTCAATAGCATCACCTTTGGTTTGGCCATCGGGTTGTTGAACAGAAAAATATGGGGAGACCGTATATCCTTGCCGTTGAACCCGAGGATATCATGGGCCGGTTTTCCTGTAGCAGTGCCCCCCTGGTGAGTTCCGCGTTTGGTGGGAGGGTAGTGAGAGCGTTCCCGATTGAAGGTCTCCATGCTAACACAACTTGAACACGTTGAACAGGTCGGTTGTTGTTAAGCTTGGAGGTCGGAACCATGAAGAATAGGCTGGAAACATCAAGTAGGGGCCAGAACCCTTTCATGTAAGTCGGGACTCATCATCAAAATGCATGGCAACTACCCCGCAACTCTTTCCAAGGGCCTACGAGGTGCCGTTTAATTGTGGCTATCGGTTGCTTATACACTTCATTTTCCCTGAGTGCTCTGGTTGGACAAAGGCCATGTGATCCAGCCTTCTCTGACTCCCACCCCCCATGAAGGAGTGGTGTTGGTGACTCAGGGCTGGTTTGGGCTTTGGGCTTGGTTTTGGGTGTGTTTGGGGTTGGTGTAGGGTTGGTTTAGGTTTGGTTAAGGGTTGGTTCAGGTTTGGCTCAAGATTGGTTTATGGTTTAGGGTGGTTTAGGCTTGGTTTGAGTTTAGGCGTAGTCAAGCTTGGTTTGGGGTTGGTTTGGGCTTGCTTTAGGGTGGGTTTAGGCTTGCTCTCGGCTCGGGAGCTCAGGGGCTGGGGGAGGCTCAAGTCGGGCTCGGGCGCTTGTGAAGGGGGGGAGCCTGGGGGACCGTACCATTTGAGGACAACAGACGACGGGATCATACATACATACATTTGTACATACACATGTTATTTGTTGGTATTATTCACGGTAAAAATACACATACACAAGCCATATAGCCAACTGTTGCCTCAAAAAGGTATTCCGTATTCTTCTTGGGGCTTGGGTATACTTGTGTTGACCCGATACCCTCTGGGTCGAGTCGTTGTGAGCGACCAAGGCGAGGCCGGTGGCCTCTCCGCACCTCCTGGCCGCGCGGAGTGCAATGACCAGGTGCCATGCGGGAAACGTGGCTTCACAGTCCATGTCTGTCAGGGGAACCCCTGAAGTGATACAGTCATGGGAATCCTCCTGTTCACAATGGCTCAGTTCGGCTACGATTGTTCATGTTCATGAATTTGAGCAGCACCCAAATCCCTAAACCCTAACGGTTCAACCACCTGGGTTGGGTTCATAGCCCAAACTTGTACAATTTTGGTACAAGCAGTCCACGGGTGTTGGGCTTGGAGCCATGTTAGTTCCTGTTGATTTACTCGATGGTTGAAGGGCATAGGTTCAATCATTTCGGCACCCTCCAGCGCAGTGGCCCTTGGTTTAACATGTTTAACCTTGGATGGCTCCCTCTTTTTACGTGTGGCAACTGGAGGTCTGGCTACAACAGGGCACGCCTGAAACTTGAACCCAGCCAGGCAGCCAGAAAGATGTGGGCATGAATTGTGATTGGCGAAGCTCTTGGATGTAGGTGGGGGTTTATGTCCACCAACCACTTTTGAGGTGGTTCCCTACTAAAAGTGAATTGCCAGTGTGTGACTGAATGTAGGGGACCTATGCCATGACCATCACACGAGTTCCCCGCGCGAAACACCAGCGACTCGTTTTCGCAGGCCCCCGCTGACCATCTCCCCGCGGCCGCCGGAATCTAAGCTGCAGATCCCTGCAGAATCGGCGTCTTTCGGAGAGCAAATCCAATGGATGCAAAACCAACTATTTGAAGCAACCTGAAACTAGCAGAATCTATCAATGTTCTAGAGGGAAACCAGGGCAATTTAAAAAAGTAGACCGGACCTCATGAAAGGGTTATTTGAGGGCCTCCCAGGGTTGCGTGTGATGTGAGACCGGTCAAGCCGGAGAATTAGAGGTACATGACATCGGTTACACCACTGATACGACACTCGCGATGTCACTTGTGCCGAATTTGGTCCCTTTCTTTTAGACTTGTGTCAGTTTCCTTTGAAACCAATAGAAAGATGATGTTATTTACATGGCTTGGCGAGGTGAGCTGGCATTGGAGTCATGGGGTTCGTTCAAGACGGAAGATTGACTCCGCCCGGATAGTTTGTGTCTTTTTTCTGCTGTTCAGATCCCATTTCCAGTGATCCTTTGGCAAAAACGAATCGCGGTGTTTGAAAAGAAAGACTAAACACATGGAGGCTTCCTTTCCTCACACTGTTGCCAGAGGGTCACCTGCTGCTTTGTGAAGCCTCAAGCCTGAAAGCTTTGCAGTTTTTGTTCGACTCAGCAGTGGCAGAAGTTGGTTCGCCTAGCAACAGTCACCCGGCAGTAAACGCCCTGAGTCCGAAAACAGCTCGCACCCGAACCCCAGAACGCCTTCAAAAGCAAGGCATGCCCAGTTTGTGTCATGGGGGGAAGATCAGAATTATCGTCGGATTCTCAAACCAATCCCATGGATTGCCCAAAATGTGAATTTAAGCTCGGGCAGGCAATCCAGCATCGCCAGCGCGATGGCTCAAAGGCCGGAAGGGTCCAACCTGCTTGCGACGATGTCTTGCGGTGTCATGCTGCTTTGTGTCACTTTGCATGAACCAATTTTGATGGATCGGCTCCTTAATGTCTCTTGGATAGCAGCTGCTTGTTGGGCGCTTTTTGTGGCGTTTGTTTCTGGTTTCATGGGATGATCCTTTTCAAGGTAAGGATGATGATGCTTCCTCGAAAGTTCGGGTAAAGTAACTTTAGAAGTGCAACACTTCTACAGCAGCACAGAGATTGAGCAACAGTTAGCTCATATTGAGCGTAGTGGTTGAATCGTCCACAAGGTCCCAGTTTCACACATGCCCTCACCTAAACGCTTGAACGATGGCTCATTTTTTCCTGGCTGAGCTGGGGCGCTAGGGAAACTGCTGTTACTCACCGTGGCAGCTTTGCGGCGTTTAACAGCGGAAATGCGCCATTGGCAGGGGTCTGATTGACATTCCCATGTGGGAAACGGACAATTGCTCTTGGTGATCTATTCTTAGCTTACGGAGGAAAAGGGGGTCGACTCGAAGCACGTTCTCACAAAAGCAATCCAGGTCCGCAACAGGGAAAGACTGAGTTGACTGAAGACGTCGAGGAAGGTTCACGTGGATGACGCATTCAATCTCTGGGGCCGCATTTGGGGTATGTATCAAAAACGAGCTGGGCCCCTCCAAATGGCTAGCTGTTTGACAGACTGTTTTGACAAGACAATTTGGGATTGGTCCTATCATTGGGCGTTGAAGGGGAAGCCAACAGGACGCAATTCGGAAGGTCCGAGTCAGATCCTGACATCTTAATTTGCGCTGCTAAGCGCAAGCCAATCATTTGTTCACTTCATTTGTGCAAAACACAGGGCCTCAACTCCAACCCGTTTGCAATTTTGGGAATGCCATCCCCCAGACAGCCCCCTGCCCCCGCATAGGTTGGGTGCCATCCGCGCAGCGGCTCCTCGGTGTTCGCCTGAGACGCATCCAGCGTTGGGCGTGTCTTCGATCAAAGACTTCGATCAAAGAATCCCCAAAAGTCAGCTTTCTGATTCTTTTGGTTTCCCATGTTTCCCTTTAAAACAACCACAAGGCTGCCTTCAAGAACAGTTTCTCATTTTGCTTCTTGTTTTCTGCCACAAAGAGGCCGGGTGTTCCTTTTGGTTTCCCTGTAAGAAATCACCCACCCCAACTACAGGGTACCAGCGGAAAAGAACAAACAGATGCCCAGTGGGCAGCAACCCAGGGTCTCGGGCAGATCTAGAATCGAAAGTGAACCGGTTTTGGGCGCTGGAATTCCTCACTTCCTGAAAGAGTGAGGGATTCCCGTGGGTCCAGTCGTAAGGGTACCCTTGTGGTGTTGCTTTACAGGGACACCAAAGAGGGGCCGAGTGAACCCGCACAGTTGCAGATCATAGCCGCATCAGGCACCCCGAACAGGGGTCCCATGTGAAAAACCAGACCCATCTGGTATCCGATGACACTTCACACCTGTGTCTCAAGAGCTTGCGGGATTTCTTATGCTGGCTTTGCTCTTGACCATACAGCGCAGGTGGATGTTTCGTTATTTTTGGTGTCCCTTGAAATACCAACAAATAGAGGGTCCGCCTTTTTGAGAAGTTCCCACATTGGTATATCTTTCTGGGGGACTCCTTGTTTTGTCTTCTAAAACCACAGATTTTGGGTCTCCCAATTTTGACACATGGGCGTTGATCAACTATTCCTGGCCCCCAAATGACCCCGGGTACCGAAATTCTCTCAGGTGGTTGACCTATTATTCATCCTTTGAGTGGTATTTTCGGACCGATGGTCATCCCATGAGGGCCCTTTGATCAACCACATACCCACCGCAGCCGTTTCGCGAGGCCTGTGCGGCCTGGCACGCTCTTCACGCGGCCGGCGCTTTTCCCCAATGCGAGAGAGAGAGAGAGAGAGACGCGGGCATCGGGCAAGGTACACCAGGCCCCATGATGTTTACGTAACCCAAAAAGGCCCCCAAGAAGGTGCCTTCCTGGATTTGGCTTTTCAACTTGATGTTGTTGAAAACATTCATGTTTGCTTGCAACCGGTACGTCATCCGTGAAGCAAAGATGTTAAGCCTGGTATTAAGCAACAATGTCATTGGGAAAGCACAATGACTCTTAACCAAGTATTCGCACCATATTTGGAATTAACAGGAGGAGTCCAAGGGCGCGCCATTTGGGTGTCTTTCGCATCTGGCCCCCTTCTTCAAAAATATGGTAGGGTTCCCAAATGGGCTTGTGCCATTTCATGAGAGGGTGGTGTCACGTTGGCTTTTTCTGGACCTGTCCACAAGCAAAGTCACACTTGTCCTTCTTTTGTTGTGGGGTGCGTCAAATCCGAACAGAAACCATCGAGTCATATGTTGTTCCTATGATAGGGCAGGCGGTAGCTGAGGCTGGTACGAAAATATATGGAATGCCTAAACCTGGTTGGAATTCCCTCGCTAACTGTGTGTCCGTTTAGTGCCTCTTGAAACATCGCCCATGCGGAGGTCCTCAATTCTTGGAGAGCACCATGGCTATGAGTTTGAGTCGCTGGAGCACCCTGAAAAATAATTGGGAAAGGACACAGATCCAGCCGTGTATTTTCCGACGTCCCAGGGTCCAACAAATAAGAATGCCCTGTCCCCGCCCGGAGATTCCTGAGTGGTTGGAAAATGGAGGCAAAATGTCAGGAGAGATCCCGCCATGTTGAGACGGATGTTCTTGAGTCATTCAGGCCGGCACCATTTCTGCAGCCGGCGCCCTGGGAGAGAGTGCCCTTTCAGGACGTTCTTACTTTCTGTCCGAAGATCAGATCAGTCACTACCCTGTTTTGGATGAACCAATACTTCATCTCAAGTTTCGGCCCTTGTGCGAATCCGTGCGGGAAATTGGATCTGCAGTCAGTGCAAGTAGGATGATCGTTTGACTAGTTCGCACACGAGAAACGGAAGGCTGATCGCATAATGCGGCGGTTGATACGCTCAAGCCGAGGGGTTTAGCCGAGGCCAGTGATCAACTGCGTTTGCTGGACAGTGTTATTGGAATGGTCGCACACCACGGAAGCGCAACATTCGCAGGTACTCTGTGGCCTAAGGTGCAAACTGCAATGGGCATGCTGGTTCCTTGTAGCGACGATCACTAGATTGGCACAAGACTCCGTTTTGAAGCCTTCCAGTTGGATCCGCTTGATAAATGGCAGCGGCAAATGAAACAGAGCCGCGCTCCAGCTTTTGGGGCCGTGGTGTTTTTTGGGGCGGCCTTTGGTTCGAAGAGCTACGCGTGCGCTGACTGTAAAATCCCGGCAGTGCATTGACAAGCTATGGCAACCTCAAAGGTGGGACTGACAAACACTGCAAGGAGTTTGCTTCCAGACTCAGGCTGGTACAATCATGGCCATGAGAAAGGGGCCTGTCATGCCCGCCAAGAGAAGCAGACACGTATCGGGGTCTTCCAGTCTGGTTGGCCCTATATGCCAAAGAGGTACAAGCAGAACGCGAATTTGGTGACCGCGTCCAAAACAAGTGCCTCGGTGGGTTCTTTCATGGTCTTTGCTCAATGAATCTAGCTCCTGGTGAGATGCGTTGGGGACTATCAGATATGAACCCAGAGGGGCCAAGTGCTGTTGCGGATTTGGACATCCTGGATTGTCAAATCCCGACCCTCTCCGTTAGACCTGCAATGGGTGATTTGTCTTTCCCTACTGCCAAAAGGCCCTGCAGTGGGTCGCTCTGAGGCTCCGGCCTCGCTAGGCGGGACCTGCGAAATGATACTACTCCCGGTTCCAAGGTTTGTTGGAGGGACATCACGGGTCCCGACTTCGTTGGGTTTTTCAACATCGGTCCTGAATCCGTATGACAGAGATAGTGGTGTCCCTTGTCCCACGGATTAGAGATATCCCCTATTGCCAACAACCCGGCCTAATATATATATATATATAGCTATATATATATATATATATATTGCTTGGGGAGAACTACATATTCAACACTGGCATGTTGCTCCTTTGCCGCATGATCACCGGATGTTTGTTATTTTAAAGGCGCTCTTGTGAGCATCTCCCGAAACCGTTTAGGCAGGGCAGGACAATCTTGAAGCATACACAATGGCAGCGGCAATTGATGGGAGGAAAATGAGACACATCCAAGATATGTACAAGTTTCCCGTATGCCGACGTGATGTACAATGCTATACACCTGTACTTGATGTAGATATGACAATGAACATAAGACAACTTATTGTTTAATGTATGTAGATATACGGTCTTTGTAAACTCCCGTTTTTTTTTGTGGTTTTGAAAAGAAACCAAGAGGAAAACCACCATAACAGGTGTACAAGCTCTATCCGGTAGCTACGGGCTCAAGGGCGTTGCTATGAAGGCCTCCACGTGAGGCTGGGCGCGAGAAGGGGAGGTGTGTTTGTTGCTTTGCACGCATCGCTTTACGAAAAAGCGGCAGTATTAGATATTCCCCCTGAAGCGCTGCAAAAGAAGGGTCCTTCTTGAGTTTGCAACACCTGAACGGATGGAATCGATGCGGAGGATTGATGTTTGGTGCGATGGTTCAAGCCGGAGGGGGGAGAGGGGAAGTGCGGGAGAGGGGGGGGGTGAGGGGGGCGGGAAAACATTTCGAGATCCAGACATCCAGACATCCAGACATCCAGAGATCCAGAAATCCAGACATCCAGACATCCAAAAAAAGAGAGCCAGAGATCCACAAATCCAGAGATCCACAAATCCAGAGATCCAGAAATCCAGACTTCCAGACATCCACACATAATTATATTTACATTAAACCAATAGAATACATACCAACAAAAGCAACACAGAACACACCGCCCCCATGCCGAAAGCATGGTCCATTCTGGACCAGGCACAAGTTCGGCGGATTTTCATGGGACCCTTTGGTTGTCCCTTTGGGATAAGTCATACCCTAACGCGGTCTTCAGAGCCAGAGGCCTTTGAAGCTGCCAACATCTCTCTCGCGGCAGCCGTGGGGGTACCCTTTCTGGAATTGTTTGAAGGGGAAACCGAACGCACACCGAAGGCAAACCAGCAATTTATGGGCTCCTTGCTTTGACAGAAAGTAGTATGAAGTTGGGTCCAAGGCAGCATGTTCAAGGCAGTTCTACTCACTAGACAAGACACGCTCTTGTTTCGTTCCAGGTTTCAAGAATCATTATTTCGTAGCAGGATGTTAGCTCAATACCCCTGCTTTCCAAGACGTGAATTCGGAGCGTGAGAAAGCAGTATTTGTGAGAGCTTGGGCCGCCCATGATGGGTGCTCTTTGGAAGGAATCCCCAAGCTTGCAACACCTCGCCTTGTGCGCATTTCTCGTGCCATTGCGCTAGGCGCGGCAGGGGCCTTCGCACTGGATGTGGCCAAGCCGAGTACATCCGAACGTCTTCGGCTTCAATACTTCTCTCAGCTTCTTGGCGCAACGCATGGACCAGTGCTGGGATGTTGGTTGAGATGAATTAGATTTTTCCTCCAGGCATTTGTACCATTTGTACCGCTAGGTCTTGCATTGTATTTCCCCTAGTTGGCTATAGCATATTAGCTATATTCCAAGTTACTTTTTGGGGCCAAGCTGAGGTTGAGTGGGCAGTTGCAAGCCAAGGGTGGGTGTGTGGGTGTGTGTGTGTGAGTGGGATGGTGATTGTGGGATGCGCATCTTGGGTAGCCCCAACTCCTCCCTCGCAGCATCGAACTTGAAATGTTCCTTAGAACATGTAGCAGTTTCCATGTCACGCGAAACACATTCGCTTTGAAGGCGTAGGCTCAAATTTTGAAAGATGTGGTTTTTTCACAAGGGAGGGGATAGATCCAGCGCGAGCGCTGTATAAGAAAATCGGCTGGTCGAGGCCCAGGGCTGAATTGCTTAGCGTCCATTTCGTCTTTAAAAAGTGCTGGTTTCTACCAGAAGGGCCAGCTGGATTTCATAGCCAATTTCTTAGCCTTGTCTTCGTTAGGGGAATGAATTCCTGAACTTCTTAGCAACGGAGGCCGAAAACGCCGCTAAGAAATCCAGCCCTGAATGTCTTGGGCCCTTCATCCCAGGAATCATTGGCGTGCGAAGGTCGTTTTCTTCCTCGCACAAGCTACAAGTTGGCTAAGAAATTGGACGAAAACTCAATTTCTAAGCAGCAAATGCAGTTGCAACCTGCTTGATTTGGGAAGCTCAGCCCCTCAATCTCTTACACATTGATTTCTTCTACAGTGCTTGCACTGTAGATGGAATCAGAAGATCAGATACCGCCCGCAAAGTTAGCTCCTGCAGAGAGCTTTAGAAGATTAGATAGCTCATGCGAAAAGACAGCGTACGCAGATAGTTTGCGTGCAGCACAGATGAAGAACGCATGCGAGAAAATATGCTTGGGCGTGTGGCCAGGGAATAGAAATCGCGAAAAAGAATGACCCTCTGCGGGCTTTGGCGGGTCCACGTCGATGTCAACCACCTTTGTCTCCTGGCTGGCACGGATCCGGCGCGGGCGCGGCGCAGGTTTGACGGCCCCCTGCAATTGCATTGCGTGGCAGGCACGGCACTTTCGCAAGGTCAGGCGCAGCGCAGTGCTTTTTCAAGGGCAGGTGCAGATTTCGTGGCAGGCGTGGCAGTTTCGCAAGGTGAGGTGCACATTTAGTGGCGGGCGCAGTGCTTTCGCAAGGTGAGAAAAAAGAGAAAGAGAAAGAGACAGAGACAGAGAGAGAGACAGAGAGGCAGAGAGAGAGAGACAGAGAGAGATAGAGAGAGAGAGAGAGAAAAAGAGAGAAGATAAACAGAGCGAAAAGCAGAGGAGGAGAAAAGCAGAGAAAGAGAAAACAAGAGAAAGATAAGAGAAAAGGAAGAGAAAGATAAAGAGGAAAAAAGAGAAAAGCGAGAGAAAGAAAAGATAGAGAGAAAAACGAGAAAGAGAAGAGGAAAGGAAGACAAAGATAAAGAGGAAAAAGAGAAAAACAAGAGAAAAAAGGAGAAAGATAAAGAGAAAAAAGAGAAGAGAAAGAGAACGAGAAAAAATGAGAAAGATAATGAACAGATAAGAGAAAGAGAAAGATAAACAAACAAGAAAAGAGAAAAGAAAGCGAAAGATAAAGAGAGAGAGAGAGAGAAAGAAAGAAGTAATTAAAGAGAAAGACAAAGAGAAAGGGAAAGACAAAGAAAGGAACAAAGCAAGTCAAGGACAAAGAGAAAGAGAAAGAGAAAAGAAAGAGAAACAGAACGAGAAAAAGAAACAGAAAAGAGAAAGAGAAAAGAAAGATACACAGACAGAAAATGAGAACAATACAGCGAAGGATAACATAAGGAGAAAGAGAAAGATAAAAATCCAGAGCAAGATAAAGAGAAAGAAAATGGAGAAGAAAAGCGCGAGACTAGAGAGAGAGAGAGAGAGAGAGAGACAAAGAACAGGGAGACAATTCGAGAGAAAGATAAAGAGAACGAGAACAACAGAAAAAGTAAAGAGCAAGAGAGAAAGGGAGAGAGAAAGAGAAAAGAGAAAAGAAAGAGCTATAGTCTTTGTATTTCTAGAAACTTCGGATCACCGGCTTCGCCGGCTCTATGTTTATGTCGCCCTCACTGGTTGATGTTTTGGGTAGGGTTGGACAAGGTGGAGCCCCAGAAAGCAAAACAACTACAACAAACAGCAACGAGCGACAGACAACACGCAACAAATACAACCAACCCCCACAAATTCCAGCCCTTGACACACTGACACACTCCACCCCTTTGATCGGATGCTGTTATCTTTTTTTTCTTCTTGTTCGGGAGGGGGGCTGTCTGGCTGTCTTTTGGCTGAGGCTCCTGCAAGAGGTCAGAGCTTTGGCAGCAGGCCTTGTGGCTGTTCGAGCTCATCCCCCGCCCGGACCGCGTGAGCTTCAACTGCGCTCTGACCTGCTTGGCTCGCGCGTCACAGGGCAGCTGCCCGGCATATTTTTCTTGAACACAAAAGTACAAGTTTTAGCTGGGACCTCTTTTGAGTGATGCTTGCTGAACAAGCTTGCTGGATATGGAGATCAATTATACTCTTTGTGGCGGATGGTAACAGTCAAGATCTCTTCTGACTAGTGCTGGCATCTCTTTGAATAATGAATTATTCTACACATCAAGAAGCGCTTCACTACATATGAGCCCTACTCAAATAAGTTATTCAAGAAAGAGTTGCCTGGTTGACCAATGGCAGGCGAGTTCGTTTGTGCAAGCCCAATCCGGTCTTTGGACCTATGTGTTAGCTCGTGTTGTTTGGGGCCCAAATACGGTAAGCGGATGAAGCAAGAACTATTTCGTTTGGGACTGGAAGAGTATCGTGGCACCTAAAAAAAAGGAAGGTGGTCCGTCCAAGCTTTACATGGCATTACAGCCGCTGGACGGATACCGGGTGAGTGAAGAGGAATAAGTCTTCAAAAGACAGACAAAGGATTGAGAAACCCTAAAGTGAGTGACCATGAAATCCTAAGGACACTCCCGCCGGAGCGAAGTGAGGGTTAACGAACGGGCGGTTCCAAGGGATAAGACACATGTTTTTCTACCACCTCAAAGACCCGCCCCTCGCTTCTTTCGGGAGTTAACAGTTGGTGGGGTGACCTGTCTCTCGCTCATTCCTTCGCTACCGCCTGGTCTAGAGAAATCTCATCATTACAATTTGTTTACTGTCATGGTGCACTGAGGATGTTGATTTCAGATCTCCATTGATTCCGTTTCTTGTCGAAACCAATGCCTTGGCAACTTGGGAAGCCCCTTGTGTGAGTGGGCTTGCAGTGCGCGGCATCCTTGCGGTTCGGGGCTTTTGGCCAAGGTCCATGACTCAAGGTCTGGTTGTGACCATTTAGTCAGGGGCAAACACATTTGACGTGCACCTGACACCTCTAACTTTTTGTTTGGGAGGGCGGGCGGGACTTTTCTTTCCAACTTTTTCCCGAGGGCGCGGGTCCGCTTTAGGCTCAACCACCTGCAAGGTCAACCATCAAAGAAGGTGAATACAAGAAACATGTCAACCATCCTGCCCGCAGGGCCAAACTTAGGGGACCCAACCCCACACCCCACCCGTCAAAAAGGCTCTTGTCTGATGGAAGGGCTAGAATTCTGATGGGACGGACCTGATCAACCCGATCGATGACCGCGTTCAGTTGGGCAGGCTGCGCCCATAGCCCACTTAGGCTGCTCTCTTCATGCGCTGCGCCTCCTTGAGACGATGCGCCTCTGTCAAGTTGACACGTGGGTTGCTTGGGTTGCTTTTTAGGAGGGAGGTCCTATTCTATGTCAACCAGAAGACGGCAACCGGAAGGCCTACGTACACTTCCATGATTTAGAAAATGGTCGCAAGGTTCCTGCCGGGTGTTGAGACACCATATCATTCAAAGCGTGTCTTGGTGTGTTTGGAAAGTGGTTGCTAAGAAGTTTCTTTGCGTTGAACATCTCGGCACTGTTGAACATCTCGGCACGGTTGAAAACCCGACCTTGGCCCCCAAGGTGCACACCCTTCGCGATGTCTCAAAAACCAAAAAAACTGCAGCCACTGGCCATTGAGTCAGGGCTACCCCACCATACAAAAGAAGTTGTCAAGGCATTCCTGCGCTGAATGAGCGGTTTTCTCCTGAAAAACCTTGCATATACTTCTGCGGGACCGGGCGATTTGCTGTAAGCTGGGATCATTGCGTTTGGCCTGGCTGTATAAGCCCGTCTTAGCCTTCCAAACATGACTGCGGTGAAGATCTGAATCCTGGGTTGAGGGTTGCACAGTGAGCAACAACAAATGCCATGGCCTACACTTACAAAGTTGCCACTGGAACATGCTGCCATACTGCAACGCTAGGCGCGGGCGATGAATATTGAGCATGACTCTAGTGAAGAATATGCCATTTGCCCTTCAACTGCCATCCGCAAAAGAGGGCTCCTGCGGGGAAACGCCTACATGCGACACATGATACAGATTGTACCTACAAACGAATATAGACCTCCCTCCCAAGAAAAAGGATAGAGGTAGATGAAGCAAATTTGGGGCCCTATTCCAGATTGATTGAACAGTAATTCCCCTGAGTACCATGGAGCCCAAGAGGATTCTTAAAAGATTCCTTTAAAATGAAGGCTGTTTGAGGGGTTCCCCATGTTATGCTGGGTGACAAGTGTTTGAAGAACATTTCATACAGGATTTATAGACGTAGCAACGTATTTGACTTTAGTGGAGGATGTCGGTCCTGAGACGTGTGACTCGATTCTCTACTCGAGTCTCAGGACATGGGTCAAATTCTATCAAGCACATCGGGAGAGCACGGAGCCTGAGCTACATGCCACAGTTGCAATTTCAATCATACCGTGAATTAGCCATTTGTTTATTCGCTCATGTGTTCTTTGTGGACACAATGACCTTTCAGACACGTCAGAGTGCGGGCACATTTCTTCCGGCACAGCTTAAAGTTTAAACTCAGCTTTGGGCTGGGATGGGTGGGATCGCATCATGTTTTCGGACCTAGGCGGGCAATGGGCAGGAGCTATCATTTGTGAAATCCTACCGTGGCCCATGAAGGGCACTTTGGCACATCCCTGGTCCCCCCCCCCCCACGACACGTGCAAAGGCCCACAGCGCAACTTCAGCCGGATATCATCAGCTTCAGTGCAGCGATCGGTGCCTGCAAGGGCCAGCGGTGGCAACAGGCGCTCCACTTGTTCGAGTGCATGCCACAGGCATCCGTGCTGCCAGACGTCGTCAGCTTCAACGCAACCATCAGCTCCTGTGAGAAGAGCGCTCAGTGGCAACAGTCTGTAGACCTCTTCGCGCGGATGTGCTTCGCCAGGCTGCCAGATGTCATCAGCTTCAATGCAACCATTAGCTCCCTG